CCATGGCTTCTGTAGCACATGTTCATCATCTGTTTTGCTTCAAGGTATCCTTTCCTGACAGGATTTATCCACAGATGACAAGATTTCCTCAACAGGACAATGAAAGTGGTTATTTGTTTTCTCCAGCTATCTTTCCTTGATGATAGCTTACATTTTCCATCATCGATTCTTCTCCTCCTCCTGGCTGAAGGAAAGGGGTGTTTGTCTAGCTCCAGCCTGAAGAGAAAAGGCCTGGAAGATGGGAGGGAGTATCAAACGACCACACTTCGATGACTGCCCTGACTTCCATGGGCAGACCTTGGGCTGTGTATTACTGGGGGCTAGAAGAAGCACATATTCACCCCAGCCTCGGAAAGCCCCACCACTATAGCTGCGCCACGATTCTCACAGACACACTGCCTTCTGGACACAGAGTAGAGATGTTGGGTCTGCAGAGAAGCCTGCTACATCAGCCGAAATTGAAAGGGTACTGTTGTGCTTTGCTGAACTCGTTTTACCCCTCCTGATGCACTAACTGAGGTTTAGTATGTGATTGATGAGCTGCTAAGAGCGAGGGGAAAATGTGTGCCTTGCCTAACTTCATGTCCCGTCATGAAGCACTGTTTGGAATAGAAAAAAAAAAAAAGTTTGATTTAAGCTTGCATTTGCTTTCTCAGAATTGCTCTAGGGTGGAGACAGGATAAACCCTGGAGAAGGGAGTGGGCGAAGGAGCTCGGGGCCAGAGCTGCAGAGCTTGCAAGGGTCAGGCAATTCCTCACGCAGAGCCGCGATGGATCAGGAGCCCGCCGAGAGGCAAGGAGCAGGGCGAGGTGGGCTGGGGCAACACACCCCGTGTGGCAGCTCAGGGCTGCTTCGGCCACCACGGCGGCTCACAGCCCTGCCATGGGCAGCGTCAGCCGGGAGCAGCAGGCCAGGGGCGCCGTGCAGGGCATGCCCAGCAGCCCGGCATTGTTGGCAGAGCACGCGGCTGCTGGCGGCAAGCCCGGGAAATAAACATCGAAAGATGAAAGCGGGCCAACGTGGGAGGCAGCGGCCTGCTCGGTTTCCAGCCTCTGATCACCTTCTTCCAAGCCCTGCCTCCCCACCGCGTCCCCTCGTCCTCCCACAATGAATGGATCGCTGCCCTCCTGCAGGAAAACGAACTGCTTGCTGTAAAGGGGGATTGCCCAGATGTCTCCCCGGAGAGCTGCTTTGCATTGAAGGGCGTGTGCACATCCTGAGAAAGGATGTGATCTGATTTCTTTTAATAGAGACATTGTACCCCCATAGTCTAGAGCATCCACAGTTGTCCATGGCTTTCTCATATCCTTCTCAGAGCCTTGCTGACACAGCTTTGTAAAACATCCATACGAACGCATAGGTCCAGGAAAACCACGGCAAGTAGCATCATGTGCTGAGGTCTCCGTGTTGGCCCCTTGCACCACTGCTTCCTCCCAGAATCGAAGCAGATCCCCCAGCTCTCAGTGCCAGGCTGGGTACGTGGTGGATGAAGCCCGAGGAAGATAACCACAGTATCTGTCCTGGGCTCTAGCTATGGCTGAGTCGGATGCAGATCTGAGTTACAATAATACTGTTCCTATGGGCAAGTCGAGCTTATTGTAGTTGTAAGGGTGGAGTTCAGGTGGTCTGGCAGGAGAGAGAAGATCCAAGCCTGTATCCTAGTGCCACAGTAAGTGCATGAATTTATAAAGGCAGGTGGTGACATCAAGAAGATGCCTGGAGATTGGGACTGGTGGTACAGAGAATGGAAAGAGGACAAGAAAGTGGTAAAACGGTCTGGGAGGTCATAGAGAGAGACACGGTTCTACTGGAATAAAACTGCCAAGTCTTACACAGCACACAGAAATCAAATTACCCTTCCAAAAGATCTTGAACAGCTTTTTATTGACATGACTTTTTCCCTTCAAGTGGCCATGGCTTTTATGATTCCTTTCTGGATGTACTAAAACTATTTTTTAGGGAAATTAACATACTATCCCCAGACTTTGGAGATCTTTGTATTTGAAGATAAATATTAGTACAATATTTGAAATATTGTACTAATAGAGAAATTGCATACTTTTAGGAATGCTGCATCTATGTCTGACTCCACTTCACAGACATCCTAAAAAAGGGAAGATCAGCTGTGCTGGGTCTCAGAGTCCTCTTTTTTTTTTTTTTTCCAAATTAAATAAAAAAGCCTCCCAAGCCTAATGAGTCATGTTATTTTGCACACAAGTGAATTCTTCTCTATCACTCAAGCTGATGAATGGCAAGAAAGAATTATTTGGATTGCCAGTTATTTGTTCAAAAATTTATATATATTTATTAACACTGCGGTGCTATTGTCCCCCACATCCAATACAAACACACCTCAGATCTCATTCTAATATGGCAATGACTTTTCAGCTGATAGATAGGGATACTCCTGTTTACCCTTCCTGATTTTTAAAAGACATTGGAGATGGAGAACCCTGAAAAATAAATAAATGTGCAGGAATACAAAAACTAACATTGTGAATATGAAAAAGCGAAAGTAAAGTGTTCCTGATAAAAGCATAATTACTTGGATTCTAAACTAAGAGAGAGACAAAGAACTTTGACTTCAGTACGTTGGCACCTGAGAAAGGAGCTGATGGAGGCACAGTGAGCAAAGTGACAACAGATAAGGGGGTTCTCACACGATTCCCCTGCATGCCCCCACAGTGGGTCTTTGACAGTGGACTGAACCATTTACTAACAGTGTTTGGAAACACTACAGCATATTAGTTTAGACCGTGTTACTCTGGGATGTTATATCTTGGTTTGATTGTTACTTTTCTGAGAAATACAGTGAGGGAGTTCGTTGCATATATCAAGCAGATGCTTTATATATCAGCAGAGTGTAATGTGCTGTTGAATAGAGGACTAACAATTTACATTCCCTTCTGAGATGTGTAAATAATTATATAGACGACAATGTACAAACTAATCAGGCACTTCCTTTCACCCACTGCAGTTAGTCAATACGATTTAATGAATGGTTACAAGATAAGACCTTGATCCTGCAAACACTTTGTCAAGTGAAAAACTCTGTGTGAACTGCGCCCACTGGCCAACTCAGGTGGATCCAGTTGCTCATGCTAGTGATAGGACTAGAGGCAATGGCCTCAAGTTGTGCCTGAAGAGGTCTGGGTTAGAAATGAGAAGAAATTTCTTCTCAGAAAGAGCAGTCAGGCGTTGGAATGGGTTGCCCAGGGAGGTGGTGGGGTCACCGTCCCTGAGGGTGTTCAAGGCAAGGTTGGACGTGGTGCTTGGGGACATGGTTTAGTGGGTGATAGTGGTGGTAGGGGGATGGTTGGACCAGGTGGTGTTGGAGGTCTCTTCCAACCTTAATGCTTCTGTGATTCTAGGAGAATAATAGCTTCTATGATCATGTAAAGGATATGTTATACAAATATGGAGCATACGTCTGTGCCTTGTTAGTTGGCAAGGCCCTGCCTCTTGAAAATTAGGAAGGGTCTCAACTTCAACAGCCTCTTCTTCCTTAGCATCAGTACATGTTTGTCTCTTTCCCCTACCCAGCCACTGATTCCCATGAAACCTAGTGGAAATGTCACATCTCTGATACTTTACTTCTTTGTCAAAAGCAGTTGAAATTCTCATTGAAAAGTTATCAGTGGGCAGTCAGCGGGCACATGAGTGGGACAGAAGTGGAGTTGTGTTAGTGCATAATCATATCAGGTGTCACTAGCCCTCAAAAAGATAGAAGAAACAAGATTCTTTAATATAAAAATCATAGAGGTGTCTAAGAAACTCAAGCTTCTCCTTGGTCCTTGCCGTGATGACAGTAAAGAGATATAAAAAGAGATAAATACCAATATACCTGCCTCCTTCCTGCACTTCTTGGCACAGGACTATATGATTACCACTAACCTCTCTACCAGCGACAGGTAACTCTTAGATTTCTGCCTCTCCACTCCCTGTTCTTTGTCCCTAGCCCTTGTCCACAGCCGCCTCTCCAAGTACAGGGTAGTTAAAAGCTGGGCAGTGCAAAGTCACACCGTGTCTGTGAAAGCACACTTTCTCTGCTCTTTTTGCTGCTGCTGCTGGGAACTACCTGATACTCCTATCAATTAAAGAAGCTTTTTGCTTTAAGGCTCATGAAGGAAGTAATGTACTTGATTTTATTTGAGAGCTGCAAAGTCAGGAAGGAATTCCCTGTTCCTCCAGTTGTTGCTTGGCAAGAGATGAAGAATGCTAAAGCTTCTGGGAGCGCCAGTGAAAGCTAGCTGAAGGGCAGCCAGCCATCCTAGCTTGAAAGATCAGAAGGGACAATCTCAATAATATGTAATACAGACCACAGGGGTGCCAGAGTTTACTGTTGTTTATACTACAGCATAGCATTTTGGAAAACAGTCCTGATTTTAGTGGTGAGGAATCATCACACAATGCTATGTGTGCTGTCCCAAGCTGTTGAAAAGAAAGAGCTTGGGTTTTGGTCTGAATTTAATGTGGTTAAACTTCCAGATTATCATTCTCGTTACATCTTTACGTGATAGATACTGAAAAGCCTTCACTACCAAAGTCTGCTCCTGCATATTTACCTGCAGACTTCAATCAAGCCACCTCATGACCTCTCCTTTGGTTAAGCAAATTGCTCGAGCTCCTGGTATCTCACAGTATGAGGGATGTGTTCCAATCTCTACTCATCTCTGTGCGTCCTCTCTAATGTGTCTTAGTCCTTACCTCAGTCCAGTGATTATTCTTTACTCTCCTGTTTGAAAAATTCATTGATTCAGGTTCACATTGGATGCAGTGATTTAAACAGAGGATGAGGCAAATATAAGTCATGCAAAATACAAAGTGAGGCTGCCATGTAGGAGATGCAACCATGCAATACTACTGCCAGGCAGCAGGAGGAATACAACAGGCCCTGCAAAGCCATGAATTCCTAATTATTCAAAGTACAACATAAAGGTTTTTTTTTCGGAACTAACTTGTTCTCTTTTTTCACTTCAATCTTTTTTTTTTTTTTTTCTTTTTCAAAGGAATGAGGAGAATGTACATATGTGTTTGCCTCAGTGATGGTGTACAGTCTGTGTACAAAGGCATATAGACATGATTGATGTCAACATGTTTCCCTGTTTCTAGCCAAGCTGGCAGCACCAGCTTATTCTGAAAGAGAGGAAATTGATTTCCACCCATTTACAGAAAATCTAGTTTATTAACAGTAGATCAGACAAAAAGAACTGTTTCTCATAGCTTGCTAGAACATGCAGGGAAGGAAACAGCCATGATTTGGCTACTGGCAGCTCCGCAGCTGCATGGCCAGACCCGCACCACCCACGTCACAGCGTGCGGCAGGCAGCACTGGCACGGGGCAGGGAAGTTACAGCCCTCCTGGGTGAATCAGTGACCGGCTTATCTGCGAACTCAGAATAAAAGCACAACCTTCTGGTGTGTAATAACGAGCTGCATAAGAACTGGGGAAATGCTTACAAAACCTTACTGTGTATCTACTCTTCAAAGTGAGCTAGACTGCCCTAGCCGTGGCACGCCAGATCTGTGCTGGTTAATTTACTCTGTTCATCGTCTAGAGCTACTTGAGATGTGTTTTCATTACCCCCCAGTCAGATGAAAACAAGTTACCACGTGAACAACTTGTAGTATGACCGACATTATAGAAAGAAAGAGCTCAATACCTGTATTTTGCATGCTGTGTCTCAGGTGAGTCTTTTGCCTACCTGTCCTGCAAAATGCCTTTCCCTTGGCAGTGCCAAAGGCCATGCCAAAACTCTGCAGCTCAAACACATTTATTTCTTGTAGATTTGTGTGAGATTATTTTTACTTTCTAAAAAGCTTGATCCCACAGTCATTATACCATAGGAACTTCAAGGCTGCTGTTTACTTTTGACTATTTTTTCTCCTCAAATCTAACACAGCAGTGAGAGACTGCTTTAACTTGTAGATGAACAATTTATATTTGGGAGAACTTTGAACTCTCCCTGCTGCTGTCATTGACAGGTAACGTGAGATGTCTAGCTTGAGAACTAACAGAAATGGTTATTACTGAAGGGAGAGTAATTGCACGGAAATCTTCGCATTTGAATCCCCTGTGGGAGCCAGTGCCATAATTTGATGGACAAACTCTCAGACAGAATAAAGACCCATAATTGATCCTCAATAACAGGAAGGATTTTTATTGTAAAACGTCTGTGCGGGTAAGTAAGAAATCACAGAAGAAGTTAAGTTAGTCGCAACAGAAATCCCTTGATGATAAATGCTTTTCAAGACTTTGCACAGACACAAAAAATTCATTCAAATACATTCAAAAAATTAAAAGGCCTGATCCTTTATTCTCTTGATTCTCTAAATTCTGAAACATGTGTAAGTCTAAGTTTAATTTACATCTGCAAATTTGATCAGTTAGTGCTTAGTGCTAAACAATGCTTTTGTGGAAAAAAAAAAATGTATATTTCTATGAATACTGCAGATATTTTGGAATTTCCAATATAAATAACCAAAGCAGCATAAAACAAGACTTGGGACTTTGGATTAGGAAATTGTCTTCTCTTTTAAAGCAGCACCCTATTCTCTTTCTTTTCCTCCATCCCACCATCAGATTCCCCAAATGAAACATAGGGTAATAAGAACGAAGCAGTGCATTATTTCTCTCTATTCAGTTGCTGGTTATTTGCTTGAGCAGCAAGCCATAATGGAAGGTGTTTTTATTAAATGAAGAAAACTGTTGATCTTAGGTTGCCAAATCTCTGTATTTTCTTTTCAGCTTCTGTGGTGGAGCAGTGGTGCAGGCCATGGGAAATAACAATGGGAACGACAGTCCCTGTGGAAAGGAGACCGTGATGTTCTGCTCTCAGATTCAGTCTGGGTAATTATTCCACCAGTGCTGTCCTCAGAAAGCAACAGAGAGCCTGCTCCAAAGTGCTTTCCAAGTCAAGGCAAGGGAGGAAGGTTGACAGAGAGAGGTAGCACATTCTCTTAAAACAAGTAACACATATGAAGGAAAAAAAAAAAATCCAACAAGCTTTCAGCAAGACAAAATCCAACAAACTTTCTGCAAGGAAGAGGCAGTGCTTCCCTGCGTGGATGCTCTGCAGAGACTGCCTCGTCCGTCAGGATTTCCTCTCAATAACTATTTTTTATTTTGTACTTTTGGAAGGGAGAAAGGTAAGTAAGATGAGCTGCTAACTTTCCTTTCTGTTTAGGCACAGACCTCAAAAGCTGGAGCAGGCCTTCTGCTGTCAGTAGGTTTAGTGGAGATGGTAGGTAAAATCCTGCATATTTTGTACCATTTTGGTTACAATTCTAGGTGCGAATGACAATTCGTAAAGCTGAAATTGTGTTTTTGAGTGTATTAAAATTGAGAAAAGAATCATAGAACAATTAAAGTTGTAAAGGTCCTCAGAAGGTCATCTGGTGCAACCCTCTCCTATAACGGTGGATTTATTTGACAGGCTAAACAGGCTATAGCTATGCTACTTACTCTGTACTGTGTGGTGCAAGCTCTTTAGACAAACCATATTGTGTAGGAGCAGCTTCATACCTATCCTCTTCTGTCTGCCACCTAAAAAGCAGCTGTGTGTGGCAATGGTTAGTTAACAGGGAGATTTAAAGTCATTATGCTAGTCTTGCACTTTTTCACTTACTGAGGATAAGATAAGCTTTCCTTCCTTTCTTTTTTCCCTTTTCCCTTTCTGCTATTTACCCAAATGTTGATATATAATGTATGAAAACACATTGCGTATATCCTTGCCTGCTGTACTGTTAAATGAGTTCTTTTGGGTTGTGCTGGGAGTCAGGGATCCCTGATTCCCTGTCCTGTAACTCTGTAACCCCTGGACCACATAAATTGTTGCAGAATCAGATTTAAGAAAACAAAAACAAAAACAATATATTTATTTGGTCATAAGAGTCTATTAAAAAAGCATAACCAAAGAAAATCCTAACAACTTAAAAAATGTCAGTGGCAGCAATGAAGCCCACTTTCAGATGTTGTCGCCTAAATACCAGTCTTCTGAAACTTTACAAGCTTTGGTTTCACCAGTTTTCTGAATGACTGCCACCTAAGCCATTCTGAGTAATGAACAATGCAGATATCTTGATAAAATAGGATATAAGGGAAGAAATTAAAATGCCCCCAAGAGTACCACACATAGGTGCACAAAATGTAGGCAACTTTATTTACCAAAGCTGAATAGAGGCTGTCAGCTAATATTTGCTATTCTGCTAGGTCTCCATCAGTTCACTGCAATTGCATGGAGTTTTGTAGTTAATCTCTGTACTTAATTATGTCTTTTTTTTTTTTTTTTTTTTTTTTTCTTGGAGGGGTTAATCCAGGTAGAAATTAAGGAACATCCTGAAAGATGCCCTGGCTGTGGAAACAAAAGAAAGGAATTAGGAGGGAGGTTGTTCGGACAAGCATGTTTGCGCAAGTAGAGCTGAGAGATGCTGGATTTTAAGAAAAAGTAGTAATTACTGGATTGAAGACCTTAATTCCTCTTGACAAACTGAAGAGGTCTGATGCTGTGTGGATAGGGTTCGTATTAAATGGGGCTCCTTCCAGGCCATGCGGAACATCTGAAGAGCAGCAATGGTTTGTAAGGTGCCAGGCATTGCTCCCCTCTGTGAGAAGTTTGAAGCTTTTTCTTTGCTTTATTATTTCTGTCTTGGAATGTAAAACTTTACACATGCACTAAAACTTGAATATATTTAATAGGATTAAGGTGTAAACGATATTTTGACGAAAATCTGGTTACAGGGATGTAGCATCTTTGTGGACATAGGACTAACTGCTCTTGTTCTAGCTGAAACCGTGGCTTAATCTTGACAAAACCAGCATCAAGAGGTTTGGGTATATGAATAAGGAGAGATGCAGCACATTTGGGGCTTTAGGGTCTGTGCTTAACCAGACTTAGTAGTCGGAGAAGCCCACAGCCAGCAGTGAGCTTGCTCCTTGTCACAGGGCAGACGTGAGGGAAAGGAGGGACAAAACGACTCAAAAGGAGTCAAAACGAGTCAAAACATCGACAGCGCGGCTCCAACAGCGCTCAGTGCGCCTCAGCCGGCGCCACAGCGCCCTCACGGCCGGCCCGAGCCCGCCCGAGCGCGGCCGAAGCCGCCCGAAGCCGCCCGAGCCCGGCCGAGGCCCCTCGCGCGCCGCTTCCGCCTCCAGCCCCGCCCCGCGCCCCTCGCCCGAACCCAAAATGGCCGCCGGCGAGGCCCCCTTCCCAGCCTGGGCATCGCGCCCGACTCCAAGATGGTGGGCGGCGGAGGCCCCGTCGCAGCCACCCTAGCGGCTCAGCCCGGGCGCCGCTCCCTGATAGGCCGCGCCACGCCCCGCCCCTTGCTTCCCGCCGCTCCCATTGGCCACACCGCCAGCCAGCGCTGCTCTGATTGGCTGCCGAGGCGTCGCTCCCGCTCTGCCCGCAGCGGAGCTATTTTCCAGGCGGCGGCGGCGGCGGGGGAGGGGAGGGGAGCGGAGGAGCGGAGCGGAGGGGCCCGGCCCGGCCCGGCCCCGCGGAGCGCCCGGCGGCTGCGGGACATGGCGGGGGCACGGCGCGGGGCTCAGCACCGCGGTACGTGGGGACGGGACGGGGACCGGGGACACGGATGGGATCGGGGATGGGATCGGGGACGGGGCCGCCCCGGGGAGCCGCCGCTGCTGGGAGCCGTCGGGGGGCGCAGCGCGGGGCGGTGCTGCGGGAACGGCCCCGTGCTGTGGGTCCCTGCGGCTGTCACCCGGGGCTTTGGGCACAGCCAGGCCGTCCCGCGGGCACCCCGCTCCCTGCACGGGGGTGCAGCCCCTGGCCGTGCCGTGCCGGCCCCGCGGTGAGGAACGCGGTGCTTCTCGCCCCGTACGGGCTGTGTGGCTCCCTGTAAACGCACGGCTTTCCCCTCGGAAATTACAGCAGCTTCAGGGTTGTTCGTGGTGGGGGTGCTGTGGTGGATTCCTACAAGAAGGTGTTTTTAGGGTAAACGTAGTCCAAGGGAGCTGCTTGCACGGGGGTGCCATGAATGGAAAGGGCTACCTGAGGTTGCGTTGTTGCAAGCCTTATGTAAAACTGAATTTGCACGGAGAAAGGCCGGCTCTCGTAGTAATGGACCTGTCTCCTCCAGAAGGCAGCGAGCTGAGCGTGTGCGTTGGACGTCAAGTTGAGAGGGAAAACCCGGAGAGTTTCCTTGTGGCTTTAAACTGGTGTGCAGGAGGCTGCACGCTGCTTATCACGGCTATCCGAATATTCACATGCGTCGGGTACATCTGGGTGTTCTGTTTGAGATAAGAGTTCTTAATCATAAAATCTCTCGTGTGGTTATTTTGTTTAAACTTCAGTCTCTTAGAGGCCAGCGATTGCGTTTCAGGGTGCTTTCTTTATAATCTTATTAATATCGCATTAGGTAGGGCCCAGTTGCTGGACCCTTTAGCATGGACTTGTTTAGAGAATCGGTGTCGTAATGTGGCTTCCTGGAAGTGCTTTTGTTTTTGTTAAGGAATTACGGACTGAGGGTGTGATTCCTACCTTCCTTTCACGTAAACCCTTCAGCGAGGGATGCTGCTCCAAGATCACTCTTACCAAAGAACCTTTTTAGTCCCTTGCCTCCCCGCAAAGTGTGTTTGTGCACGGCCGAGGCAGCATCCAGAGGAATCTGGAGGCTGGCTCACAGTCTCAGATCGCCCAGGTTTGTGCTGTTAGAGGCCTCCTGCTGAAGCTGTTGGGCTGTGCTCAGCCCTGGGTATAACCCCGTTACCTTATCAGATGCAGACTTTGGAGGTTGCGGTTGTGAGATACTGGCAGGAGGTAAGTAGCCACAGCGAACTGCTGAAAGGAGGCAGGTCTCCAAGTTAATAGCTGCTAATTCGTTCGGTTATTAACCTGCAAGCTAGGATGCTCAGGTGGACTTGATGTTAAAGCAAGAATCTTAGCAGTGGGGTCTGTGTAAGGACAGATTGATTCTCTCTGCTCTTTTTGTACATTAATAACTGCAGCAGAATAAATTAAATATCCTTTTAGGATGTGTTCTGAGTCAGTCTGAAGCAAACTGTAAAAAAAGAGTAAACAGGATGAGTTTGAGACCTGGTGGACTGAGCTGCTGAGATCTGTGCTGATTTTCCAGTTTGTCTAAATGTCTCGTGTCTACCCCAGTTTCAGAATTGCGTTAGCAATTAGTACAGTGAACTAGTAAATTCGGACAGCTGGGAGCATGCAGTAGCTTGACATGACTTCATCTGTATGAGAGCCCTGGAAAAATGGCTGCTTTAGTCCTTGGGGGAATAGCTAGAATTTCTCTCCTCTTACCCTGGTAATGGTGGCAGGTACATCCAAGAAAGAGAGAGCAGATGGAAGGGATTAGGAATCAACTGTGTTCAATTACAAATTAAAAAAAAAATAATCTCTGCACCATGTGAAACCTGTCACTGTGTGACAAGGTTCCTGATAGATGGCTGTTCATCGTGTTAGATGTGGCAGGTCACGTTTCCCTGGTGGGCAAATAATCCGAGGTGGTATGATGTGCATTTTTCTGGCCTCATTCACGGTGTTTGAAGCTAAGCAAAGGATGTATTTTAGTCTCATCAAAGGACAGTGATGATTTTTGTTACTAGTCGTAAACCACCTCGTCCTGTGACAGCATGTTGCTAAATAGCTTGTTTTTTGGTAGAGACAAGATTCAGACGACTCCATGCAACTTCCACGCAGCAGGTATACAATTCTTAAGGCTTAGTTAAAGTGGTGGCTTCATTTATTGGTACAGATAGCAAAAACAAACCTAAAAACTCAAAGGGGTACCTTTTTCTTTGCTAAACTATGCATGTCTGACCTGGTGGAACGAGGGAAAGAACTTCAGATGCTAGGGTTTCACCATGAACTCCTAAAATACTGATTCCTGGAGCAGGCTGGATAGTGAGCTACTCCTTGAGTAGCTATCAAAATAGCTCCTGTACTTGCCTCTGTTTCCCCAGGAGCTCCCTAGTGCCTTCAGCCTGAAGGGGAAGTTAGCACTTAGCATTTATGCTGTGGTATTTGTGCCCCGAGGCTTCACCAAGGCCACGGTGCCGGGTCGGGCTGGGCGCTATCTGGGTGTGCTGCGCCTCTCCTCCGTGCAGCCGTGCCCTGCGCCATGTGGCAGTGCCTGCGAGCTCCTCAAGGTGCCCGCCTCGGTCAGAAAAAGGCTCCCATCGATGGTGTTGGGATCCCAGGGATTTATCAGCTTCCCTGATGATGCTAACCTGTGCTTGGCACCAAGATGCGGTCGTTCTGTGCTATTCAAAGTGCCCCAAAACGGTGTGTTTTTCTGTGGTTTTGCTGCTGGGCAGCTTATTTTAATCTTTGAGCTATATCTAGTTTAAAAATTGTATTTAAAGTTTAGCAAATGTATGCTATACCTTCTGGAGCCCTTATACTTTGTCAGCTCTATAAATTAACTCTGACACGCTGAATATTTTTCACCAGCTAACGTAGCTGTTAGTTAAGTTAAATAAAGGAGAAAAGCCCACATGCTCTCTCCATGCATACAGCTGGACATCTCTCTTAAATTTTTCAACAAAAATGAAATTTTGATTGCTTTTTAAAGCTTCATGAATACACTAATTGGTGAATCATCTAATGTGCAGTTTAGTTTCAGGAAATATGTAATGGCTCACTAACTTCACGGTTACAAGATTATGCAGACCTTCTGAAAATCTCAGTAAGAAAATGTGTGCAGTGGTGGTGGCGGCTGATATTTTTGGCTGTGAGCGAGGTTGGCTAAAACTCAGTGTAGTTCTGCATCGTCTGCACTAGTTTAGATGGTAGAAAGCCCTTTGAAGAATTATCTGGAAGGAAGAAAGGGTAATTTTACAGGTTTATCTGCTCGTGGGGCCTTAACCAGGTTTTGTTAGAGATTCGCAGTGAGGAACTTCTCCTGGATCTGTACCTAGTCCTGGATAATGTGGTAGCTTGTGAAACCTTGCTTGCACTTTGGCACAGCTGTGGTTGGTGAGTTCTTCAGCCTTCACGTTGGACAGCTGCAAAAGGCTCGAAGCCTGTCTGAAAGGCTGGGGCGAGGAGGGCAGATGGAGGCTGCCCGGAGAGGTAGCGCTTCTCGAGGGCGCTGGAGCATCTTCTGCGCACAGCCAGATGAGGTGTGTTCATAGAGTCATATGGACTACATGGTTAGCACATAGTCAGGTAACTATAGCATATGGTTAGCACGTAGTCAGGTAACACCCTGATGTGTTCCCCCCTGAGGTGCTCAAACCGAAAGCCTTCTCGCACGAAAGCTTGGGTCTCCGCAGGAGGCGCTGAGGAATCGAGCACTTCAGCGAGCTGCTTCCTTCCTCTGCTGCGCAAAGAGGAAAGGTAAATTTGTGCTGCATCAGGTTTCTTTGGTAGTTTTACTAACGCACGCTCTCATCTGTCCCAGATGCCTGAAACACTCTTAGCATGTTGTTGTAGCGCAGGACCAGGCGTTGCAAGCCCTGATTTCACACGGGAGGAAGCTCTGGCTGTGTTGGGAAGTGCTTCACAAGTTTGTTTCTGAAAAGCGCATGATAAAAACGCAAAGTGTACCTACAGAGGTGGAATTTAAAAGGTCGCGTAAAAAATATAGGTACCTTGGGAGCGATATGGAATAGGTTTCCTGCAGTGCTAAATCAGATGACGATTTTTGTTCCTGCTCAGCAGGGTTCTGGTAGTAATTCGTTGGTCGGTGTGGCACCCGCTGAAATCCTTCGGGCCTCAGCACTGGAGGGCGGCCTGTCCTGTTAGCCCTACATGTGAGGGACGCCAGGGCCGGGCACATGGCACCTTTTGAGCTTCTCTCAGCCAAAGGAACCCCACAAGGGCTGTGGCTGAAAGAATTAGTCTCTGTGGGGACTACAATAAAACTGCTGGGGATCATCTCCTACAACATTTGTCCTTCAGCGGCAGAGATGGAGGGCGCAGAGGCCGCCTGCGCTGGTTTGAGGTGATTTTTGTTGTGAAACTTGGCCAGCTAGGGACGACAGTGTTCATTAGGGCAGACCTGCAAGTCCCCTGCTTCTGGCAAAGAGCTTCAGCACCAGACGTCCCTCGCCAAGACTCCTCCAGCTTTTGGCGTGTCGAACCCTATCTGCTTTTCTATCTGCGCACCCTCCCCGCCTCCCCTGGGGCCTTGGTTTTGCCGCGGGGCCCGCGAGGCAGTTTGATTTACGGACTGACTTGCTCATGGAAAAAGTACCCTGCTGCTCAGCTTTGTTTTTGGAGAGCTTTTAAATTTGACTGGCCTCTGTGGAGAAGGAAGTATTTTAATTGTTCCAGTCGTGCAGTCAGAGGGCTCTCGTGGATGAGGCGGCCGAGCAGGAGGCTGCAGGCTGGAGCTGAGGCTTTGGCCGGTAGCTTCGGGTGAGCTGTTAATGCTGCCTGGTCACTGTCCTGTTAGCTTAGTTCCTTAATTTTCACCGCTCTGATGGGGAATGGTGAATTACATACATCTTTTTAACATGTTAAGCCTCACTTGGATGGGAGAGGAATTCAATTAAATACACAAATAGCATCTAAAATTGGTGTGCAGTTTAATTACTTCAGATGTGCTGCATAAGTAGTAAAAAAAAAAAAAAAAA